GAGCCGCCCGCGGAGGGCCCCTCCCTTGTCCAGCCACAGGCAGATGGAGGGTGAGTCACTTTTTTGGCAGCGCAGTTTTCCGCCGGATCAGCCGCTTCAACCGACTCCTCCCACAGCCGCACAATCGCTCCATCTCACCCCAGAGGGGCGGCAGCACCACGCAGCTCGGGAGGACGGACGAGCAGGACCTGCTGCTTCTCCTCTCCCGCGCCTCTGCCTAAAGACAGGCGTTAGCAGCGTTCCTCAACAGTCCCTGCTGCACACCAGACTCCTCGCTTCTCACAAATGGAACCAAGAATGGTTGACCTTCCTCCACGGACGGAGACGGAAATGCAAACCAGGAATACATGCGCTGAGCAGTTTACCTCAACTCCAAGGGTTCCACTCCAAGGACTCATTTTACACTTCCTTGTCTGAGTTTCTGGTCAGTCTCTACTCATCCTACGGTGAATGTGAAGGCAGAATATGTATCAGTGGTGTGTTTATCTGTTACAGAACAGAATATTTTTATCTATGGTAAAACAACATAATCAATCCCCTTTCCCCACCCTCTGCATGATTCCTTTGCAAAATACTTTAAGAAACAGCCACAAAGTTGCATTTGCATCCTCATCTCCTTGGCAATTCTGGTTTATTTCTTTCCTAAAAGAAATAAACTGGTCACAGTCGCACTCGGTGCAAGTCCCCCATATTTAGCACAGCTTCCTAACACTGAAATGAGCAAATGCTATAAAAACACAACGAAAAGCATTCTGGAGGGTTAGGAGTTCTCAATATTAATCTGCTGCAGATTATAGCTGCTGCAGATCTCTAGCTGTAGGCTAGAGATGAGGAGACCAAATGTGTGGCTTCTCTGCTGCTAAGAGCTGAATAAAGACTGGGATTATTCCTGCCTGTGCTGCTACCTGGAAGCGGAGGGAAAACTGAAGGTTCATCCGAAAAGAAGACCCAGGGCAGAATGCAGCACTCCCAATGACTGCACCATCAACAGGATTAGTTTCCACTCCTGCAGCTACAAGGCTCAGCTCAACTCGGTACATCAACGCGTAGAGCAGCCTAAGGATGTTCTCAGCTACTCATGAAACGCCATCCTCCCTCGGGCTCGTGCCCCAGAAAAAAGGGACTTTTGGGCAGCTGTTGGAAGCTGGGAAGGACTTGACGGGTGCTGGCACCAGGGGGAAGCATTTCTGCCAAATAACCACTAGAGGGAACAGAAGCAACACCCAACCTCAGCCACCCCAACTCACCGCAGTCCCATCACGGCACGTTCAGCCCACCTCAGATGCACCGCGTTCCACGTTCCTCAGGAGCTCAAAGCGTGGGCTGAGTCCTCGCCCTGTGTGCGACCACCTGCAAGTCAGAGAAGGTGGTCAGTTGGTAGCGTGAAGGACAGCAGCCTCTCTGATCCACCCCACCAACACGGCCATCTGCACCGCAGGCTGGCACGGGAAGTCCACTGACCAGCCTCTCCCTCCAGCCAGCGCCGAGGAGGAACCTCTCCCGAGGTATGTGCTTTGCAGGGTCTGAAGGTAGGTAAGATAAGGCTCATTCCAAAGCCACCACAACAGCAGGGATGTCCCCTGAGAAGACGCTCAAACAAGGCAGGTCTGGAGGATCAGAACAGGGTTTCACACTCAAGTGATGGTGATGCTGAACAGGAGCATCCCGGGGTGCGCAGGAGAGCTGCAGCAGTATGTTTGGCCATGAGAAGCGTGAAGGAATTAAGGAAGTTGTATTCTTCCAAGGTAAATGCAGAAAAGGTGAAAACTTAGAAGGATCCTCTGTATATCCTAATTTTTGCAACCTCCAAACTAATTGTGGGTTTGGTTGCAAATTGTACCCTTGTGAAGATGCTCGAGGCAAACAGGAGTAATGGGAAGAGGCGTGGGTGTGCAGCAGGGCTCTGGAGGCCGGCGGTTGCTGTCCTGTGTAGCAAACAGGCTCTCATTGTGCCAGTGGGATTTGACATCCCACATAGCACGTGATAAGCAGGGGGATGACCTACAACTCCAACGACTACATCTTGCTTGCGTGAAAAACTCGGCGTGAAAGAGGAGAGTCTATTGAGAATTTTGAAGGGACTGCGGTCATTTTGCCAACATATAACGTGTATGGAGAGTACTGTGGGTGAAAACCCTAACTTTTCTCTGCCTCAACTCTGCCAAGAGGATGCTGTCCCTGAGAACTGGTCCAGCTGAAACCCCTATTCTGCCCAGCAGCAAGTCAGCCACTCAGCAAACACAAGGGACTGCACTGGAGTCTCTACTGACTGTGTTTTTCCAAGCCTTCACATATCTTAAAGTCAGCCCTACTAAAACCAAACGCTTGGTTTGGGTGATGACAAGACTACATTGCTTTGACAAGGTACACCCATTTG